TTTCATCCCATCCTACACCACACAACCTAATATGTTGCAAAATAATCTCAGCCCTAATTGTAAATGGAGCTAAAAGCCCTAGAGGGTCAAATATCTTTGCAATTTTGTTTCGAGAAAGCCCTTTTCGACATGTGGAAGTGATGATTTGGACGTTTGTAGCAGAACTGAAACTTATCATTATTTGCGTTCCAAAGTAACACAAGAGCCTTCACAGATGGCAACTCAGACATGCAGAAGAAGTGGGACACTCAAGTAGGTATTAATAAATAAATAAACCCCTATACTGGTTACACCTACTTGGGTTGAAGAGGTCATCATGCGACGACGTCATCATTGGCCATACAATGTGAACTCATTGTTAAAAGGCTAAGACCCTCCATTTTGCATCCCTTGTGATGAAAGAATCACGATCAGGCATGTCCTGCTTGACTGCATAGATGTTACCACCACAAGGGATAAACATTTCAATTATTAAAACGATTAAGGATCTTTATTTTAATATTAATTGCCGTTTAATTATTGAATTTTTAAACGAAATTGAATTGACTGATCATTTTTTAGAAATATGTTTTGTACATAGACGAATTTTTTATTTAGGAAGCTTAAATAAGTAACTCAGATTGTTGGTGGCTGTATCCTAAAGGGAGGTTAAAGTATTGTGAAATTATTGTCCTCCTGAGAGGATACGTAAGTCCCAAAACATTCAAAATCAATTTTATCTCTCCACTCTTTTTTAATCGTAGAATATTTACATGTTTTTAATTTATGGCTTTATTTCTTTCCAGTCAGCAGTGGCTGAAAGGATGATGTAAATCCAGCTAGGGTCTATGCAGGAAGCAAAGGGACTGCAAGTCGGCATGGTCCCTACCTTCAGTTGCTCTGTGATAATCTAGTAATTTCACTGTCCTTTGTCGACAGGTTTTTGTATTACACAATTGCGTTTATGGTTAATTTAATAACTTCTTAAGCCATAATATGGCTGAAAATGGTGCCGGTGTGACTAGAAATTTTAACTCACTTACGCAGAAGAGCCCTGCGTCCCCAAAAAAAATCGTCTGCTAGAGGTAACACCAAAGTGCAAATCGCCCAGTATTAATATCCGCCCTCATTGTTAATTACCACGCTCCCTGATGGTCTTACATTTCCGCCAAGCAAAACTGTTTCCGGTTTTATGACTACTTACCCCTTACAAGTTGTTTTGGATGAAATCTAACTGACATGAGATCAATAGTGAATGCAACTAACCGGCTTCTAAGTACTATGGCGCAAAACTCTAAAATAGCCCGTTTTATGCCCTGTCCGGCTACTACCTCGCCCGACCGTGGGAAGGCAGTACTCGTACACTTTAAACTGACACATTTGATGTAACAATCTCACACCCATTTGAATAAACACATACATTTACATCAATTCAACTGATTTGTAAATAAAATCAAACCTTAACATTAAACATAATAACATGATATAATCTTATCTGTGGTCTGACACGCTTTCAGGGTATTTAAATCCAAATATGCGCAGTTTCTAAGCGAACCATCACGCATTTTCAATGCTGATGAGTCAGGGTTTCCCCTTTCTCCAAAAAGGGGCAAAGTTCTTGCAGAGAAAGGATGCCATAAATGTGTATAATTTTCTTCCTCGTACAAATCTCAGGTAACGGTTCTGGCCTGCGCTAGTGTAGCTGGGACGTACGTTGCCCCTATGATAGTATATCCCGGGAGTAGGTTTCATTGTAATTCACCAGAGGGATTAGAATCTGCAGTCTGGGGAAGCAATTAGAGTGGTTTGATGGACTCGGAGCTGTTTGCTTCTTGGCTGCACAATGTGTTCATACCACATGTCAATCGCTTTGCAGTCAAGAAGCCAGTGGTTGATGGCCACCTCACCCTGGATGCATGCATGCATAGATAATAACATGATCTTATATTGTCTCCCATCACGTGTTATCCAGACCTTAGACTTGGCTCTGTTTTCCTCGAAGCGCACGTCGTCAGTTTGAGGCAATATTAAGATGAGCATCTTGCTGAGAGTGTTGAGAGGTGCGTGAGGGTTGCCAGCAACTGCCGAAAATGCAATAAAAAGTTTCAATGAATCAGGCCTCTTTCCCTTTAACAAATCGAAGCTCACTTAAAGTTCGAAAATGTCTTTAAGGAACAAACTCACACAACCATTTCTTCACCCTCACATTCCGGAATAGCCCATGTCTCCCCTCACACAACCCCTCTGACACTCAAAAGAGCAATACCACTCTGATTTTGATAAACATCTCACCTCCCAAAAGTCCAAAACCCACCGGAAAAGAGTGTAAGGACTCCCCTACCGAAGTCTGCATCAGGGGGTGATATACGAGAACGAGAAATCCTACTCAAGAAACAAAAGAAACTTATTGCAGAAAATGAAATGAAAGAGTTTTTAAAAAAGAGGCGAAAATAAATGCACGCCAAACAATTTGCGACGAGAAAAAGATCGAAAGAGAATTCAAAGAACGAATTTCTGAACAGAAGAAAGCAGAATGTTTTCTGGAACGCCTCCAAAGAAGTACTGCAACTGAAAGTGACGAGGACATGTCCGATTCAGAAATTCCATACGATTACGACGAGGATGGTCATGTGTGTACTTTTGAGGGTGAAGGGGAACATTTGTTCCGTGTTTGTTTGGCGACATTGACGCTGATGACAGTCTGCGTTGCTCTTGACACCTTGACCATAGACCAGATCACCGATCTTGACTTCAAATGGCAATTGCGCTGACTTTTTCCTAACACATTTGGTAGAAAATGTTGTCTGTTTGAATGTTAGTCATATGTTATTACTAGCTTAATGCTAGTAGCTTGTAAGACATAAAATACATTTAAACACACACGGATTATTATTTGTAATACCGGGTAATTGGATTTGAAAAACAATTACACGTTAAATATCCTCAATGTAAATTCGAAACATAGTTAACACCTAAGAGAAAATTATTTTCAATTTACTGCTATTGACAAAGCTACTGACATAGACATAAAAATATCGTAGTAGTAATAAGGTGTTAATCATATTGTAACGCCAAACAGGGGAGGGTATGCTATTCGATGCTCAGTCACAAAATATGTACCCTTGTGCATGCAAAAGTACAAGTGTAGAATCTATATAGTCCCATTGATAACCTGGTAGCGCGAGTTTGTTTACAAAATATGTCTAAATTCCGCCCCCTAATTTGCATTACACTAATGAGTTTGCTTGTTCCTCCAAGAATATATATATATTACTGAATAGTGATAAATGTAGGGAATACGTTTTAAGATAATTAACATGTGATATGTAAACTATTGTGTTCGGTGTAATTCGCTTGAAATTAAGACTTCTATGCTTCGCGTCTAGCTCATAGCAAACGTCAGCCATATTGTCATTATAAGGTACTTGCTCCTGATTGGTCAGTTCCTGGGGAGGACCGCCCTTTAACCTCTGACCCGATACCCCTTGCATATTAATTAGCTAGCTGACGTTTGCTAATGGCTAGACTTAGCATTGGTTTCTGAACCCGCGAAACGTCTACTTTCCATAACTCCAAAACTTTTGGAACAACAACTAGAAACTTTGTATAAAAACGTACAAGATGTATTTCAACAACAATAATAATTTATTAATACTATAACATATTTACATATATACACTTAAAAAGACACTTGGAAAAAATACTCAAAGTCCGTGCATCCCGATCGTGACTACTTACATAGTACCAACTGACTGAATCCTAATCAGAAATTCCCCAAACTAATTCTTATAAGTCCTGGTTGACATTTACAATTTACTTATATAAAGTATTAAGTCCTGGTGACTGTTCTTCCATCCTCACCTCTTTACTTGTGATGGTGTCCTGCGCATTTAGTTGAAAAGCTGCTTATGCTTTCTGGAAAAATGCAGGCAGTTTTACGGTAGCGTCTCACTTTTATACTTAATTACAATGACGTCACAATCGAAATGCACCCGCTGCAGTGACCACGTGACCATGCGAGAGATTCGTAAACAAAGATGGCGGCACCCATAAAACAACCTGTCATCCCTACGCTGTTTGACGATTCTAACAACTATAGAGCTTACGCACATATCGTATTCTGACAGTAAGGTAATAAAAGTAATCTCTATATACTTGAGAAATAGTTTAAGGATGTACAATCGCTTCCTAAAGTCATAATCTAACCTAGGACTCTACCGGAAGTATGATGGACATTCGATTCGACAGTTACGTGCAGAATGACGTAATGATCAGTACGTTTTAGAATAATATAATGATACCCTATTGCGTTCCAACTTTCCCCCCCCTAAGAAAAACAAATGCGCCCTCGCATAGTATATAAATTCACATGGTCACCTACTTACAGGACGATCTGTCTAGATCATTTAATTCATAAATAAATAAATACATACATATATGCATGATATTCTTATGTCATATTTACAATTTGATCCAACATTAAATACAATTTACAATTATAATTATTTACATGTGTATATATATATGTACAATAGATCTGTCCTGTCTTTTACAATTTATATTTATTTATTCCTGTAACTTTATATATATATTTACAGAGTTCAGCAGAAGAATTTATTCTTCTGCTGGCGTCCACCACTCCACTACTGACAGACTGATGTGGTGGACGCCATGGCCACCAGGGATCTCTTCTTTCGGTTCTTCCTGCCGATGTCTTCTGACCCCTGGTGGCCAGTTAAACAAATTATTAGGGTCTTTTCTCCGCCGCTCTTCCCTCTCCCTCCTCTCTCTGACCTCTTTCTCCCTTCTTATTTTGTCCTCTTTCTTTCATCTTCTTTCCCCTTCTCCTTTTCCCTACGTTCCTTCTCTTCTTTCTCCTTTTTCTCCCTTTCCCTTCGTTCCTTCTCTTCTTTCTCCTTTTTCTCTTTTTCCATTCGTTCCTTCTCTTCTTTCTCCTGTTTCTTCCTCTCCTCTTCCTTCTCCTGCTCTTCCTCTTCCTCCACTCTTCTTTTCTCTTCCATCTATTCCTCCTTTTTCTTCTCCTCCCCTTCAACTTTTTTCTTCTCTTCCATCTGTTCCTCCTTTTCACTTTCTCTCCTCTGCCTCTTAAAATTCCCTGAGGACGATGATGTTGATGATGAGGATGAGGACGAGGAGGAGGAGCTCCGGGTATGCTTTTCCTCATCCTCACTCTCCGAGGAGGAGACAAACTCCCTAGATGAGAACTTCCTGGTCGACCGGGGCCTCCTGACAGTTTGGTTGTTGTGCTTTTCCCGCTTGTGGAGGTTCAGGTCTGAAACCCGGTCGGCTGAGAAGTTGCATTCATCGCAAGTAATATCATTCCCGTGGCTTACGGATACGTGATTCACCAGTCCGCTTATGGTGACGAACACCTTATCGCATTTAGTGCATTTAATTGTCCTTCCAAGGGCGATCATCTGAAAATGAACAGAACGCAATATAGTTCCAAAACAGTCCTGGTGCATATTTAACACATGTGGTTCCCTGCCCAATCAGTTCAGTTGGTACTTGGTAACTAGTTATAGGATATAGTCTTCAAGATATCTTGGGCGCTTACGAGTATGCTTAGAACCATAACCAGAAATCTCCTCTGCCGGAGAGTGGTCCTCTATTAAAGGTAGGTCCTCTGCAAAAACTTCGCTGTTGATTTCCACGGGGAAATTTTGTGCTGGTATGGTATTAACCTTATGTGTTTCCTCACGGGAAATAGCTGGCTTCATACGGTCAATATGTATTATTTGAGGTTTACCTCTCAATCCACAATTGACACGATAATTGACTTCACTGAGTTTTGCTGTTATTTGAAAGGGTCCTTTCCAAAAACATTGCAGTTTTGGGCATATACCTACTTTCCTATGGGGGAAGTAAACCCAAACTTGACTTCCTACTTTATATGCTGAATATTTTGTATGTTTGTCGTAATACTTCTTCTGTCTTAATTGATTTTGTTCCAGGTGCTTCCTAGCCAGGATAAATACATCCTCTAGATGTTCCTTTACCCATTGATGCGGTGAACTGATATCCTGAATTGGAAGTCCTACAAACATATCAACTGGAAGATTGATTTCTCTCCCTAGCATCAGTAGATTTGGGGTGAAATTTGTACTTTCATGAATTGTGGAGCGGTAAGCCATAGTTAGATAAGGTAAATAGAAGTCCCAATCTCTCTGATTTTCGCTTACAAAAGCACTCAACATAGCCTCCAACGTCCTATTGAACCGTTCTTACATTCCGTAGGACCTTGGATGAAACGGTGTGGTCCTGGTTTTGTCAATGTTAAGGAGTTGACACATGCCTTGGAACAATTTTGACTCGAATTGTCTCCCCTGGTCAGTATGGATTTGTCTGGGTATACCAAATCTTGTGAAGAAATTTTCTATCAGGGTTTCAGCCACTGTTATTGCCTCCTGGTTTGGCATTGCGTATGCTTCTACCCATTTTGTGAAGTAATCTGATACAACTAAGATATAGATGTTCCCATTTTCAGTTTCTGGAAGTGGGCCTACAATATCCACCCGCTCTAGAGGGACTCCAGCCCCGGACAACTGCATCGGACCTTGACGTTTCCTTGGAGGAGGCTTACGCTTACAACAGGCATCACAAGTCCGAATCCATAATTCTACATCCTTACGGAGTCCACACCAGTAATATTTCTGCCTTATCTTCTCTACTGTTTTCTTGACCCCTAAATGACCTCCAGTCAAACTATCATGAGCTTGCTCAAGGATTAACTTTTGTTTATTTTTAGGAATTAGAGCTTGAAGCTTTATTTCCTTCTGCTTTGTCTCAAATTTTCTGAAAAGTACACCATTGTTAATGGTTAACTGATCCCAAAATGTGCAATACAGCTTAATAGCCTCACTGCACATTGAAATTTCTGACCACTTAGGTTTATGACCCTTTTCTAGAAAAGTCAGTACTTTTCCTAAGTCCTGGTCCTGTTTCTGATTGTCGATTAAGTCCTGTTGACTTGTATCGACCAACTGTAATTGTCAAACTTCCCTAGTTACAGGTGAGTCCTCAGACGTCATACCACACTGTCTGCAAGGAAGGCGAGAAAGGCCATCTGCATTAGCATGTTTGCGTCCTGTCTATGCTGTATTTCATATTGGAAAGAAGATAGAGTCTCCAGCCATCTAGCTATTTGTCCGCATGGTTCTTTAAACCGAGTCAACCAGGCAAGTGCCCCATGATCTGTCCTTATCAGGAAGGATTTTCCATACAGATAGGGTTTGAAATGTTTTACTAAGTGTACTATAGCCAATAACTCCTTCCTGGTGACGCAATAATTTCTTTCTGGTTTTGTCAGTGTTCTACTGGCATAAGCAATTGGCCTTTCAACTCCATCCTGAACCTGACTCAGAACCGCACCTATTGCAAAATCGCTCGCATCTGTGTCGAGGATGAATGGTTTGGTGAAATCAGGATGGGCCAAAATGTCGGCACTGATGAGTTTACTTTTAAGATGTTCAAAAGCGATTGAACATTCCTGAGTCCAATTATATGCTCTGTCTTTCTCGGTCAACTTATGCAGACAAGCTGCAACCTTAGCGAAACCAGAGATGAAGCGACGGTACTAGTTACACAAACCCAGAAAACTTCTAAGTTCCGATACATTCTTCGGACTTGGACAGTTTTTGATTGCTTCTACCTGCTTAGGGTCGGTGTGAACGCCTTGTGCATTTACAATGTGACCTAAGTATTCCACTTCCCTTTTGAGCAAATGACATTTCTTAGGTTTCAATTTTAACCCGGCTTCCCTAAGTCTATCAAACACTTGCTTCAGGTGACTGAGTGCCTCATCAAAGTTGCCGCCAAACACAATAATGTCATCCAAATAGACCAGACATATTTCCCATTGAAGACCCATGAGTACTGTTTCCATTAGCCTCTCAAAAGTTGATGGTGCATTGGTAAGACCAAATGGAAGGACTTTGAATTGATACAGTCCTTGACGAGAACAGAAACTAGTGATGGGACGATCATCGGGGTGGACTTCTACCTGCCAGTAGCCGGACGTTAAGTCCAGGGTACTGTACCAACTGGAACCAGCTAACGAGTCTAAAGAATCGTCTATTCTCGGTATGGGATAAGCATCGATCACGGAACGACTGTTCACCGATCGAAAATCCACACAAAATCTTGTAGTTCCGTCTTTCTTTTTAACTAGAACAATAGGAGAAGCCCAAGGACTATTGGAAGGTTCTATGACATCTTTGTCTAACATATCCTGAATATGTTTCTTAACCTCTTCCTGACTATGGACTGGTAACCTCCTAACTGGCTGTTTAATGGGTTGAGGATTGTCTAGCAAAATTCTATGTTGGACAAGGTTAGTTCTCCCTATGTCCGTTGACGAAGCTGAGAAGATGTCCTGATATTCAGTTATTAAAGTTTTAAGCTTAGAGCTCTGCTCCGGACCTAAGTCTGTAACAGCTTCTTTTGCCATTTCTTCTAAGTATTCAGGTAATTCTGAATTTACTTTCTTAATGTTCCTCACCCGTTCAGGTTTATTGGACTGCACTGCTTGAACATGATCTATTGGAAAACATTCTGCAAAGTGAGTTCCCGCATAAACTTTTATATCCTCTTCAGATGGATTGAGCACCCTGACGACTACCTCAGCTTCATTTTCGGAGGCGCAAGCCAGAGTTCTAGCTACAAATAACCCGCTTTTGGACATAAAAGACTGGCTCCCTTCAATGACATAGTCTTTGTTTACAGCTTTTGGATTGTCAGTGAGAATTTGACCTGGTAGAATCATCTCATGACGTGCAGGGATACTTATTGTTTTCGGACAGGATGCCCGAAAGCAGAAATCTGTCTCTCTCTCGTCTTCGCAAGGCAAGATATTTTCCCCGATCTCAAGGGATCCATCTCCCATATTTAGATTACATGCATTCTCTTTCAGAAAGTCCAGTCCAAGTATGCCCTGATTTCCTATTTCAGCCACCCAGAACTCATGATTACAGGTGTGTTTTCCTAAGCTTATATGGAAAAGTCCTTTTCCCAGAAGGGTCAATGGTTTTCCATCTGCCTGTAATATCCTCTCAGAAGAAGCCTCTAAACTAGGTTTCCTATCTTTGAGAATTTGTGAATAACTTTTCAGACATTAATGACACAGATGCCCCGGTATCTATCAACATGGAGAACTTTGAACCATTAACGACAACAGGAACACAGATCCCGGAAACATCACGATTATCATTTATTTTACAACTGGGTCCTTCTTTTACAGCCTTACTCCGACCCGTGAGTGGGGCTGACTCTAGTTTCCCGATTTCTGTCTGAACAGAACCGGACAGTCACGTTTGTAATGACCTCTTTGATTGCAGTGAAAACATTCTATATCCATGTGCTTATTGAATGACCTCCTCTTATTTTGTATTCCCGAGGAATTACCCTGAGTTACTATCTGAGTGAGACTTGCCACTGCCTTAGTCAAGTCAGACACCTGAGACTTTAAATCCTCGTTTCTAGTATCCTCTATCACCCTGGCCAGCTTACGTCCTCCCTGACGTTGAATTTCAGCATGTTGGAAAGCTTCTAACTCAACAGCTAACTGCACAGCCTCATCTAGGTCTAGATTGTTGTACTCTTAGTCTCATTTCTGACTCCTGAAGTGCCTCGATAAAGTGATCTTTTAGCCAAGATTTCTACAAGTTCTGTACCGGCATCGGGGTATGCCATGCAAGCAAGTCTTCTTATACTTTTTACCCAACTCAGATAAAGTTTCATCTCTGTGTCTAGTTCTACTTTTCAGCTGTACTTTGTACAATTCCGTCTGATTACTAGGAGCAAATCTCTGTCTCAAGGCTTGTACTAGCCTGTGATAATCAACTCTATGAGCAGGAGGTAAATTTCCCAACACCTGTTGAGCAGAACCACGCAGCTGAACAGCAAGGTAAGTAGCTTTTTGGACTTCATGCCAATGGTTTAACTCGGCTACCATTTCAAAATGGACTTTAAAATCATTAAGGGAGCTCTGTCCATCAAAAGTCATGGGTAAAATAGTTGGTTTATCCCGGGACAACCCTCCGTCCAGAGTTAGATAACCCATGAGATCCTGCCATCATTGATATCCTAGAAATTGGTCGGTCCTCTAGCAGACTATCAATAACTTCCCGACAGTTTGTCTTTCCCTGAAACTGGTCATCCATAAAACTGAGACGACGCTTTGTCTCTAATTTACCCAGTGGAATTCTGGGGCCCACAGCAATTCCACTAACCTCACCCGGCCTCCTAGGTGAAATCCCTCTTAGTGGATCCTGGCCTATCCGAGACGTAACCACTCTCAAATTCTCTATCTCTGCCAGAACCAGCTGGTATCTTAGAAATTATCTCGCCAGATTCACTAAGAGTAACCTGTACATCCCCTGCTTGACTTCCTGACATGTCCAAATCATGTTGAAGAAAAGCACTAGAAGAATAATGGATTGGAACTTCATCCTGGTGATCGGCCATTCTATTCCCAATAGAATTTGCACTAAAGCCAATCCCCACCAACTTAATTTATCCACAAGTACAATAAATCACTTCAACTCCAAGGGATGAAATCACAAAAAGTTTACAGCTCTCCAAGACAGATCCAAAGTACAGAAATATTTACAATTATTTACAGGAACTCCAAGATCTCCCAATGAAGAGCGCTACAAATTATGCTAACTTCTTGTCTAAGCACAAAAATAATCACCGACAATTACAGTGATTCCAGTCCAAG